TCAGTTAAATGTTTTTATCATATCATACATTTTGATTTCTTTCTATTATCTGAAGAGAAAAATGCGCATAGTCAACCTTGGAAATACTTCTTCTTCAGTTAATAATGATCAGTTATCAATCAAAAAAATTCTGTGATTTCAGTCACAGTCACATTTTCTTCACATGATTTTCAGTACTTGATGTATGATAAAATAAACAGATAAACAAATGCAGTATGGTGGATTCGAAAAAATTGAAAATGGCAAGGCTATTTTTGCTACAGTCCAATAAGAAACATCCAATTATTATGTATACTTATCATGTGACTAACTAATAAAACAAACAACTTCATACTGTCCAATCACCTTCAAACTTTAACATCTTAGCTTTTAAGCCTTTTAACAAGATTTCTTTTTCTGACACTTTCGCATAATGATGTTCACTTGACATGTGATCAGTCTGAGTAATCAATAACGTTAAATGCTGATATGAGAATTATTTATTCAACTTAGTAAATTAGTAGGTCGACAGGGAAACTTTGTGATAAATAGTACGTTAATTTCCGTTGCAATACTTTAATAAGCATGGAGGATTTCATCATGAGCTGATATCAGTTAGAGAACCACTGGAAAACCTGGGAGTACTGGACAGCTGTTATAAATAATAATTAAGAAAACTCATTGAAAAGTCAACGATAGTAACTACAATAGAAACAACGATAGGGATTATATATATAGAGAGAGAGAGATCGGTATAACTAAGATGTTTTTGTCTTTATATCAAAAAAGTGCACTAGAATAAGTAGAGCTGCCTTCTGTTTATCTGGAAGCGTAATCACGTAAGGCGAAAAGACAATGAATAACTGTTGAAAGATGGCTCAGGAATTTATTGATTTCGAGAGATTTTATCCTGAGTCAAGACTGGGTAGAGAAATGGTTAAAACAAAGAAGTGATAGGAATCCACTTCTGCTTAGCTTGAAACTCTTCAGCATTCTGCACCTATAACACCTAATGGACCCACCATAGGATGATAATGTTTCACGGTGCACTTTATAAGATTAGGTTGAGAAATAGTTAGAACTGGTTAGACCAAACAATGTCACTATTCCATGAAGTCTTTGAAGGTTGGTTTGAGTCACTTAGTGAGGTTTAGACTGACTGGCTACCATCCTTCGGATGCTAAGCAGCAATGGTTGGAGACTGTTATTGATATGGTTCAAAATCGTCTACAAATGCGCTGATGTACTAATTTCATTACGATCTAGGTTGATATTTCAGTTCGGTATGACTACAGAATCCAATATCCTGCAAACTTTCGCCTCCGGCAAGTGGCAGTATAGCACAGCAACTATCAAATTTAGAACACAATATTCAGAGAAGAGACTCTTTTCAACGAATATACAATATCCATCTGTACAATCATATATATATGACTTAGGAAACTTTATCTCATGAGAAAATTTAATAATGTGAAATGAGACAAAATGTTTGCGATTATAATCGTGTCTCAATATCAAACTATAAAACAAACTAAATCACATGTAAAGTAGTTGATAGAATGTATAGAACTTGGAAAGAGATATAAAATTAATAGGGTTGGTAGGTAAATGAAAACACCGCCTAGCATGGTGAGAAGTTTGATAAGACAGATCTTAACACTGCAAAAATATACTGATTTAAAATAATAAATGTGACAAGTGGAATAATCCCGGAAACTAATCAAAGTGAAAACGAGAAATAATCGTAATAATAAGCGAAAAATACATAAATAAAAGTTTATCCCTCTACGTTTAAAGTAGCGGTAGGAAATGTACATGCTTTCGTACTCAAAGGTCTGGCCTGAATTCATAAATAATCAAGGCCTCCTTTGTCTTTGGAAATTCGATGGGAAGAAAATGCGGTAAGATAGCATGAATCCGCAATAAGATGATCTTAAAATCATGATCAGGGTTAGTAGAGTGACAGTAGTCGATTAAGTGTTAATTTAACATCCTTTTCCAACAGCTATATATTCTATAAACTGTTTTATATATGAAAGTATTTTTTCTGTAGCCTAATTTTAAGTTATGATTATAATCACAAACATCACATTTCATGTTATCGTAATTAGAAATAAGCACACCTTTGGTTTAAATTTCCTCATGGGATATAGTTTCTTTAAAATCATATGTATACTACTGAACACCTTGATAGTATATTCGTTTGAAATAATCTCATCTCTGGATATTGAGTGCTAAATACTACAATGAGGATTATTAAATGATCTTATTGTTATCGGTAATGCAGTTGTTTACCTCACAGAGTATTCTTCTAAGATTTATTCTTTTTTCAAGAAACTTGACAAACCTACTATTAACACGAAAATCTACCAACGGCAAATTAAAGCCATTAGATAGAGGAACAACCACTAGACTAATCATATGATATTATGAAAAATAAGTTATTTTTTTACTGCTAAACACCTGCTATGCCAACCTCCACCTTAAGGGGCTGCTTCATATCCGTGCATATTCTATTTTCTTCTGCATGTGCTTATTCAAAAATCTTTTCTTTTTTTACCAAAACCAATGAATGGTGACTCTATTTTGACTGACTTATTCTCAAGTTATGCAATCCCTTTAAACCTTTTTTTTAGAAAACAACTTCAGTTTTGATTAAAGTCCAAGGCATTCAAAGAAGATCACACATAAAGATTACTTTTAAACACAGAAATACTATATCCCTAAGTGAATACGACTGCTTCTGTTCACATTTGATCTTTTATTTCTTTTATAATCACATGACTATTTATTATCTAGTGAATATTTGAATGTACTTTTAATATTGCCTTGATAATATGAAAGAAAGACGTTAACAAACAGTATCACAAGCACAGTTCAATAATCATAACGTTCGTTTGTAATCCATATGATTACAATTTTGTCTTTAATTAATACAGTCTGGAGGATATTTTGAAATAGAATATCTCACACAGCGTATATTACTACTACCAACCATTTCGTTTTTTTCGAGTGGGACACAGGGCTTCCCTGCTATCGCATTCAAATGGCTCCATGACTGCCCTTAAGCTTCTTGACAAAGTCTCCTCCAATATCCACTGGAGGGCCTGGCATGCGGTGTCCCTCAGTAGTTTTCTCAGAGTATATCCAAGCCATCTCTATTTCCTGCTGAATATTTTTTTGAGCATTACAAGGTAAGTCAAAGCCAATTATGCTCGAACTGTCGTCAAGTTTTAAGTGGAAACTAAGCTTAGAAGGAACCACCATTCTGACTGTATTTAAATCACTATCAACAGTAACTTCCGATTATTTAATTTTTAAAATTTAATTGCCCTCTGTTGAAATTATTATTACTAGGATTATTGGTATTATTGGACTCTCCCTTGTTTGACTATATTGGACTAAAATGTTCAACTTCTGCTGATATTTTGGCTCCTTGTACGGAAATTTCCGACCCACTTAGAAGAACTGACTGACTTAACATTGGTGTTGAAAACCCGAATTTTGTTGTTTATGCTGAGTGCAGATTTCCAAACTGATTTCAGAGTGATTAGGGTTTGCGCTGCCTTTCCAATTCTGGTTTTGAGATCCTCATCAGTGCTGTTGTCTGTAGTTGAGACGATGCTTCCTAGATAAGTGAAGGAATTTCTCCTGATAATAATCATTGGTGGTGGTTATCAGTTGGTTACGTTCATCACCGCTATTTTCTTTGTGTTCACTAGAAGTCCTGTCTTTGTGGCTTCTTCTACCAACTTGTTGGTTAATAGTGTTACATCACTCAATTTACTTATCATGTTTCCTTACCGATTAATGCTTTCTGTATTACTTGTTTGACATCTAAAACCTGTAATTTTAATGACATCTCTGGAAACATTTTTTTGTTGATATGAAAATGCATTATAAAAATTGAACTTGTACAACCTGAGAATGATATCGATCAAAAGAGTAACTTTTCAGTCAGAGTCACTTATTGCATAACGATTACGGCTCACTGCATAGTACACGCATTTTCTGAGTGGTTATATTGACCCCTGTAATTTTATATAAAAAATCATGCACTATCCAAGCTGATTTCGTTTTCCAGACAATATATCTTATTGAACCTTCAAAAACGACTTAGTTCTACCATTGCGTCAATGTGTAGAATAGTGCTTACCAAACAATTATCCCCCACTTTATCGAATACAAGCATAAGCTATCTAGCACGGTTATATATTGAATGGTTCAGTTGTCAATAAATGACTTGAACACGCTGTCTTTGTAGCTTATTATCCAATGTGGACTTCAGATTTAACACCAGAAACTGTACATCTCATTAAATATTGTCCTTTACCTCGGTAAGCCAATAGTAAGACTGGTAAAGAGGGAAGATTGGGCATGGGGCTAGCAACCCCATCCCGTAAAAGTAAACACTGTTACCTAAAATTCAAAGCTCTAGTTTGAAGCCTTGTCATTCAGTGGGAAAGAAGAGGAGTAAAAAAATTCTATATTTAACCCTCTTGCAGACTTTACTTTCCTAACACTATATGTTAAAAAGAATATATATATATATATATATATCCTGAAAACTGCCAAATCTATTCACTACTGTCATGAGATATGGTAAATGTACTGAAAGTAGTAGTTCAAGCATTAGGCTTCATAACTTTGAGGTTAACCGTGTGGTATCCTGAATCCAGCGTTCCGATTTCTTATCTTGACTAGGCCTATAACCAAGAACTCTAACCTCGTTTGGTTTACTAGACAATCATAAGGCCGGAAAAGAGAGGAGGTTATATGTGAAGTTAGTGACTTCACGATGTAAAAACATCGTGAACATCGCCGCTTCCCCCCCCCCCACACCACCACCACCTCCACATATTTATAAATACACATCGCTACGGAAACTTCTGAGCACAAAACGGAGAACAACACTGATTAGTTGTAGCCCTGACAGCTAAATCACGCAAAAACAGATCTGTTAAGAAGGATACATGCTTCTACAGTTTCCTCATGAAACCTGTCTGAAGAGAACAAACAAATGAATATGCATATGTATGCATTATATATGAAAGCAAACAAGTGACAAAAACAATAAATCTTGTTTTTGTCTTGTCGCTCTTTAACTTGAACAGAAAACGAAAAGAAACAAAAGGCAAACAAAAAATAAATCTTGTCAAAAACATAAGTAAACAAAAAAGAAGGTAAATAAAAATCAGTAAACAGATAAATAAATATATTAATAAATAAATAAATAAATAATTCAGTAAATAAATACAGATAAACTTTCAAGTATTCACTGGCGCGAAAATAAAGACAATATTAAACACTTTTTGTTGTGCTGAGATCACAGTTTAAATACGGTTCGTGTGTATTTTGTGACATGTTTAGGCTCTGATAGAGACAGAAATTAGTCGAAAAGAAAGACAATTCAACACAAAAAAGCATGTTGAAAATACTTTTCAAATAAAATTGAAAATATTTATATACGTGGATCGGTAGAAACTTCGCTTTGTAGAGATGAAAATATCAAAAATTAATCGATCAAAAAGAAGAAAAAAAGGAACTAAATGACAAAAGACTACTAACACATTGCACATAATCTGAGGAAATGCACAGTCTTTGGGATCCAGGTTAGGGGGAATAAGCATAGACTTAATAAAGAAGATAAAAGGATGTATATATGTGTGTGTCAATAAAGGGGAAAAACGAACTGAAGGCACTCCAATATTGATACCTTGAAGAGCAGTAACCATTGCATAGACGCAAAATGCAAATTACACTGTCAAATTTGAAACAGCAGGATAAATTCATTTGGAGATAGGAGACGTATTCGTGATTCCTTGTTAGGATAGTGACATGGATGCCCAAAGATCTATTAAACAAAGTATGCAGCTGAAATTATCATTCGAACGTAATATATATATATATATCGCTATAAAAATGAAGATCAGAACACTTTTTTCCCACCATTTTTTCTTCCCCTGTGTTCCGAGTAGAACACAGTGTTTTACGACATGAAGTTTCATTGGCGTTGGTATTCCTAGCCTCACACCTTACCTTCTCGGTTATCCAGACTTACTACCGGAGGCTAGGTTAGGTTTATGAGTGTATTGGCTGGGAATCGAACATGGGCCTCCAATGTGGCTGCTACTGAACCATTGCAGCATAGACAACATTGCAAAAATTAAAAGAGCACTCAAGTTCGTTTTGATTTCTTTGCATATACAAGCACTCTAGGCAGTTATAATTTCATCTTTAGTAGATAGCATTGTATGTGGAGTATTCATTTCTGGAATAGATGGAGTTATCACTTAGTTGTTTATCAACTCAACCTTTCATAATCTAGTCGTCCATTTTAAAGCACACTATGCAAATAGCAGATAGTTTTTTAACCTTAATACTCTATATCTAACTTGTTGTCTAACACAGTAGTAGTATGCATGTATGAAAAGTGTAGATAAACTGCACACTACACTTAAGTAATTGTAATTCCACTATATTCTCTGATATTATCATCAAATCTTGCTAATGAGTAGTTTACCTTAGAACATAATGCTGAAACAGTATTTCTACATACTCCCGCAATTGTATTTCATGTATTATGCAACCCAATATCAGTAAGATAGATTATCGGAGCTTAGCTGAAAGACAGGATAAAATTGCTCATCTGCTACCAGATATTACCTATTCTTCAATGTGATAATAGGTTTTGCCATTTCAGTTGTTCGAATTTCTGAACATAAGTGTTGCTTAGCTGACGGTCACACTGCAATAATTATTAATATCATCCCCTTGGATACTAAGTAGAACACAAGGCTTTAGCAGCACACCTCCAATTCACTCTGTCCTCTGCTACCTTTTTAGTCGATTTCACAGTTACCCATAAGCTTTCATCTATTCTTCGTCACACGATCTTCTCTATATCACCCTCGGACTCACGCTGAACTCGACGCTTCCCACTTAGGTTCCACTTTAGGGCCTGCCATGTGGAGTTACTTCTTAGTCTCCTGATAGTATATCTCATTTGTATCAATCTCCTTCTGTTGTTGGGAGACAGGTCCTTGATTCGTTTGACGCCAGAGTTCCTGGTTCCTAATCCTTTCTGGTCGGCCATCTGATCCTTAATTATGCAGCAAAAGCAGTTGTTAATGAAAGACCTCAGATTATTAGATGTGATTTCCGCAACATGCACACTAATTCACTGAAGCATACAGAATAGTTGACTGATTTGACGTTAGTTTTGCAGAGCCTAATCATGACCCTTATGTTGAGTGCAGTATATTTATATACTGATTTCAGAGTTATATAGATCTGTCTTGCCTTCTTTATCGTGTCTTTGATATCTCCATCCATGCCACCTGTATATGAAACGATACTGCCTTACCTAGACAGTATGATGATGATTTGAAAAATGAAAATAGGAAAATAATTACTAGGTATAATGAATGACTAAAATTACCTATTGACTGCTTAGAGTCCTAAATAACGTATTCATAGAAACACGACATTACGTTACTGAGTAGTCCGAATCCTTAGGATTTATAAAGGTGTCAGTCGGTAAGAAAAGGAATCAGCTAACTGACAAAGTATAACAAATGAAAACATAATCAAGATATACCGAATAATCTAAGTAATTCAAAAATAACTTACAGGCCAAAATAAACAAAAGCAAACTTCACAAACAGCTAGCTTTGCTGGATAAACATGATTGTCACCATATCTTTTAAGAAGTCGAACATAAGCGCGTTTCCAATTACAATCACTTATTGATACAGGAGGTTGACTATGCCATCCAGGAAGACCATAATTAACACTTGGTATCTGACTGATATCAAAATATGTCAGAGTTAAAGTTCTCCAAAAATGCTCATCTTCAACAACACTTGCTAGAGCATTTGAAGCCAATGAAGCTGTTTCAAGGTCTTGAGGAGAGTCAATGTAAGTGAGAACATGAGATAAACATTCAGACGGAAGCCTTTCAAGTTTTATGCATTCTTCTGTAGAGCTTTCACGTTCACTTAAAGACCTGAGTTTATGGGAAGGATGTGTAGCAATTGATTGAATTTTCTTTAAAATGTAAGAACAAAACAACAAAGTAACTACTTTAGTTTAAATAAATGTTACTGAATGACAATCACAAAAAACATAGAGCTTATAAAGCAAACCCTGATAAAGTGGCCATTTCATGAAGACGGTAAATGCCAATCTACAATATGAGTCAGTCATGTCAAACTCTAATAACTACATAATTCTGATTGTCATTATTCTAACAAAATTACTAGAAGCAAAATATCAATTGGAAAACCGAAAAGGTGACCGAAGTTAGAAGATAGTACTTAGTCAACGAAGTTTCTTTAGAAAATAGATTCCTAATTATAAACTGGAAGGCTGAAATTATCGTGCAGAGCTCAAACAAATAGTTAGAAACCTTATTGATCGGTAGAACTCCATGGCTTAATCTTTTAAGCAAAACATCGTCAAATTCTCCCACAATCAGAGCAGAATATCAGTCTACTATTAACTACACTCACCAAAATCGCAATAAATTTTACCTGTCAATCCAAGAAGCCTGTGCATATCAGTTTCAATCATGTAGGGAGGTGTAGGCTGTCTGTCTGGGGTTGTCGAGACGCTAGAATTCAATAGTTGGAGTGTTGGTGTTGACTTAAAATCGTTCTAAATGGTGCAGATGCAACCACCCTTTATGAACCCCTTGATCCATTTAATCCTTATGTATCTCTACAAGCTCGTTCTCTCTTCCTTAGATTTCTGCTTAGTATAGTTTCCTGAACATCTTTTTTTCTTTTTCTCTATGTCTGTGTGCTACGGAAATTTGAACTGCTGCACTTCTGTGCAAAGTTGCATGTTACTTTTAGTCTACGAAGCAAGCTGAACTAGAGAAAATTTACCGAAGTAACACTTACCAAGAACTTCCCCACCAGTAGTGCCCATTATGCTTCTTTCGCCTAATGCTGAACACTATCATAACATTTATAGACTGAAAATTTTAAATACCAAGTATGCTTAGAATTTAGGACTGATATATCCGCGTTCCCGGTTTTAAAAAGTAACAAGAAACTGTTTGGTGAAATCTAAATAGTTAGTTCATTTGCATCCGATATTTCGGATGACATGCATTAATGCGACTGGTCCTTGAAGTACAAAACCTATAAGTATTGTCCAGTGAACACAATTTTTGAAATTGGCTGACGGTTTCCTGTGAGTGCTGTTCGTAATTCTATCTCTAAACTATCTTGCAAGTTTGATGATCTAGATCAAAAACTACGGTTACTCCAGATGCTTGATGGAGTAACAAGTAAATAACAAACGGAAAGCCAAACAAACATTTCCCAAATTATTTTGAACCCGAAAGGGGAATTAGCTTGACTAAGTATATCGGAAGTTGATGTTAACTTTGACATTGTGAAGAATCAATGAGTACATATTTTCGGCCTCTATTAACGCGAAATACTAGGGACGACACTAAAGAGAAAGCCCAGAGTGAAAGATAATAGAGGCATAGAGCGTATGTCATCAAGACCTAGTTAGAATAAGAGGTTAACAGGTTAAATAATAAATCTAAAGGTGGGGGAAGTATGGTTTTAAAAAATATAACGTCAGGTAAGATCAAGATGAACATCCGACGACTTTGTTTATAACGCCGAAGTGGAATACATACATCCATGTTTGGGCAATGCAATCGTTAAAAAATAAAATGTCAAGCATTTAAATTAATGATTTCGAACAAACAGAGTGTTGAGACTAACCAAACTATCTAAACAATGTATAAGAACAGATCTTACAAATTCAAACAAAAAAACAATGGTAACAAACACGTTTCAAGTCCCATGAAAGTGAAAACATACCTACCTTCTCAATATCAAAGTTATCAATGCAGCTATACATCTCCTCTAAAGCTTTCCTGTGATTTGTCCAAAGCAAAGTACTTCCTATGTGATCGTACTCATTTTTCTCTAAATTTTCTTTTAATGCATCCAAGAGTTTTCGAAAACGTGCCGTTTGATTGCAGCTAGCTTGGACTTTATAATTAATACATATGCACAATAACAATAGGCAAACCTTGCTTAAGCACTTCTCTAAGAAGTTCAACAAGGAACAGTTGAAGTCTACCAGCTAGTCTATGAAAGTGTTCTGATATGAGAAGTTCCATTATCTACAACCGTAAATTGATTTAAAAAGCATACCTTGCAAATGTAATCAAACCTCCTTATATCCCTCAAAGCCGCCTTAGTATCTAGCTTAAGTAAAGCTTCACTGATGGTAGTTGTTGTCGCTATCTACAGCTGTTTATAAGCGATGAAAGCAACAAACCTCACGAGTAGCGCCAGCTTGAAGATGTATATGTGGCTGATAAAAAACTGCTCTAAGGTAATCACTGGCATAAGGCGTTGATTCATTTTCATCTTTTAGTGCTTGTCGACACAATCTAAACTTGAAAATCACACAGAAGCAGAAACGAACCGTTTTACAACATTTTCATTAATCGTCTCAAATATCCTAAGTCTGTATATTTTGGCGTTTTCCCACATGCTGCCACTTTCATTTGTTTTCAGCCATTGATCTCCAGGATATCTCCAGTCTGGACTTAAGAAAGGCATTTCTGTTCCACAAAAGTGAAATAAAATAAAGTCAAGCCTACGGTTAACAGCTGATCAAAGACCTTCAGCATAAACTCAAACAAATGGTAATCTTTGTGCATTCAATCTTCAATGTCTTACATGACAAACTTTTGTTGTTTCAGGTTCACAGTACGCGACACTGCACTTGATTAATCGAACACAGCGAAGTATATATGATCAAGGTTGAAGGCACAGCCATTTTTCAATGTACATTAATTTGAAGGAGCTCGTTTAAAAATCTTCTTACTGTTCCAAAACATTCGTAGGCCTTTAGCGAATTCCGGCACAATCAATCTCCCGTACTGCTGCTTCTCAATTAAATGCAATAAGATGGGTGTAATGGTACATTTTGCAAGGAATATATGGTTTGTACAAGTATATTGGCAAATTTTTTTCCGCTAGGTTATCCTTCTACTTGACTGTCAAACACTAAAGAAAGCAGTAGTACGTGAATAATGAAGTAATGTAAATAGCGAGAAGGCTAAATAAATGGAATTGAGATCAGGGGAACCGGTCTTAAGGCCAGAATTCTTGTGGATGTGTACATGGGCACGTAACAGAAAGAAATTAAACAGAAAAATCCAGTAGGAATACATGTAATAATACAAGTAAACTAGTGAAGTATATGAAGATGATTTAAGAAAGATGGAATATTTTTGATACCAGCCAAGTCCCGTAGAAGTGTTCCACTTGTCCTATATGTGCACTCAAAACGTATTGTTAATGCAACGTTGTCCAGCCTTTTTTGAAGTTATCAGCTAGTGGAACGGTTGTCACGTTGGCCAACATTGAACTCCGCAGACGGGAAACCGTAAGAAGAAACAAGTTAGCCTTTACCCCTGTTACTGCCCCTGGATGAACAACTCAAAGCTGCCCCGTGGGTAATATCTGGAACCAGATGAGTTTGGCTATGAGCTAGTTTGATATTCCATGATGAGGTGGCGCATCTTTCTTCAATAGATAAGAGTGTAAAAGTCCAACTGTTGCAGTTAGTTTTTTTATTACAGCTTGAATCCACACCATATTTTTGGTACAGGTATGGAATTTTCAGTATGTGATATCGTTAGCCCAAATTTTTCAGGCCGACTATGGATACCAGGTGTGCGACGGCAGTGCCACCGACGCACATAGCAGTTAATCTACTTTCAATATTTTACTCCTGTGACAATTTTCATAGCCCTTTATACTTTTTTCAAGCCAGTGGTATCTTCTCATAAGTGCATTGGTATTGTGATGTTCATAACTTTGATTAATGGCCAGGTGTCAGTCCTCTCAACTGTCTGGATTTTTACTGGCTTTATCTACGCTTCCTGTGTGGTTAGCACTTCAAGAGTAGCCCTAAATCTCGCTTTGTCCCATTACTAGGCATCTTGGTCCCACATAAGAGGTATGTGAACCTTCGTTCTTGAAGTATGTACCGGAAGAACACTCGGCATCTGTTACTGTCGAAAGCTTATTTATTTTCCGCTGCAGTCTCCCCAGTTGGTTAAGAATTCCTACAGCACAATTCATTCTCCCATGTTTCACGTGACTCTTCATAGAACTGCGTCATCTGCGCATAGAAGTGGCTGAGGGCTCTAGTTTTTTGAAGTAATAATTTATAATGATCAGGATCAACGTTTAAAACTCCTTTTTTCACGTGGCACATACATGACTCGCCCTCGTCCAAAGCTCTATGTCCTCCAGTAAGGTTTCAATCCAGGTGAGCAATGGATTAAAAATTTCCATTTTCGACAATTTCCATAGTGGGATTATAAGAAACACTGGGTTGGATGTTCTAGAAAGGTCCAGCGACAGGATAGGAAGAGGAGTATCCTGGTTCCATTATGCTGTCCAATTTTTCCAAGCTGTCAATGAGAAGCTGTGGCTGGGAAGTTTCCAAAATCAATCTTCAGCCTCACATAAAATTCGTCTATGGTTCAGATGTTCATGATTTGATCGTCCGGCAGGGTTTCAACCATCTTTGTTATTTTTATGCAGTACAATTACTGATCTATAGCGTTCCTGATAGATTCTTAAAGTCCAGCAGCAATGATAGCATCGACATCTCCACACCGAAGATAACTCTGTGGATATTATTGTCACCGAAGCTTAATGATGGCGTATTGAGTTCAACCGCAACAATTACCTGGTCTTATCCTACGCTGGCTACTATAGGAAACGCTTCAGTCATTTGTTGTTCGTATCCCACCTTACCTTCCCGGTAATGATAAATATTTCAAAACGGGAAGCTAATGCTGTTTGCAGCCATGAAACACCAGAACAACTTCAGGAGTTCTGGTAGCTAAGCCTGACTGGAGATTGCTGGTTTTGCACCCACCATTTCCTATGCTATCTCTCTTCTTCTTGCCAGCGTCATCCTATATATGGCCACTACGTAGGCCCCGATGCCGCGTGACATTTTTTGTCAAATAAGTTACCGACGGTGCAATGAGACCAATACGTGGGTCCGATCCCATTTATCTTGCTTTTGAAGCCTCTGACGTTGCAGACAGCGCATTCGCCAGTTTCTTTCGACGTGCATTTATTTTATTCGCAGATATTTTTGTAGACTGGCCAGTTCCGCCAGAGTAGATTATCTCCTCTTTGAGTTTTTCATTGTCGTTAAGAAGAGTTTCATGTTGCTATACAGTCACACAGGACGGGGATTATGGTGCTACGTTGATCTGTTTTTGCCATACAGCTATTGCACACTATTGTCCAAACTGTTTTTAACTGTGAATTAAGCTTGCACAACGTCCCTCAGAGTGTTCGAACTCCGATAGTTTTCTTACCTAAGTGGTGATCCACAGACTGCAGGTAAATTTAGTAAACAGGGAGGTCCACAAATGCCAGCAGCCACGACCCCAGTCACTTCCGGTTGAGTGCATTGCAGCTGCCACCAACAAATGGCATGCAGGCGCTGTTCCTCCGCATCGCTAGGTGCCATTTTCGAGAAACCATGTACGACCAAACCGGTTATGATAGCAGTAATGATAATAATAAGTTACTACTGTGGTCGTCACTGTAATCACTCTATTGTTGGTTTCACCTTGTCATGTGCTTTGGGAAATGGCTCCTGTATGGTCTGATTTCTCCCTTATGTCCGATGATTGGCTATCAACTGTTACCTGTGGTAATGTTATGGCTTGTTCTTCCTCCTTTGTTATGTTCAGAATAACTCTTAGTGGTGAGGGTTTCACATCAGGTGGTATATTTCCCTTGTACATCCTACACAACCGAGTCTGTAGGCCATGCAACTCTAGTCTGCAGCTTGAAGTTTCTCACTGACGTTTTCTAGATACGTTCTCACTGGCCAATAGACTGTTTCTACAAAAAAGAACAATGAACATAAGTACAGATTGCCTTCCTCAGCCACCCTTAACTCTTATCAGAGTTATAGAATCTTCCCACTAGAAAACAGGTACTGGTATGCTGCTATCACAATGGATCATGAGATGATTGCCGACGATGCAACATCATGTGAGTTACTCCAAGAGAAACTGATTTGTTCTAGAGGGCTATATGTTTGCGAGTGGGTGCTTCTTACGCCTAGGAGTGTACAGTCAGGTGTGGATATTGTGCTTTATGCCGCTTTGCATTTTATGTAAATGAGACCATTTTTCCATCTCACACTCCTTGTTATCATTTGTTTGGATTTTTATGGTCCCTATAACACACTATGCGATGGTCATTCAAAACTAGTTGGTGACTAAGGAATTCAAAAGGATGCGATGAGTAGGAACTATATATTCTTTGTGATTTTTAAGGTTGTCTCCAACTGTTGGATGATCAGTGCCATTCCTTCTGTGGCTAGGTCTCCTGATTCGCCTGCCAGCTGAGATTCTTTCAAAAATAAACGTTCATATTCAGGATTAGTCTTCTTAAATAAAACAAGATTTCGGTTGGCCATTTAGGTATTTTTTGATGCAAAAATCATTTGCTTAACATTCACCATTTTATCAACCATCTTACATTATGATCTTTGTTTCTGGACACCGGATAAACGGAAAATTAAGAGCTTGCAATAAATTACTTCGTGCGTCGGTGGTATAGCGGTTAGGACGCTCGCCGACCATGCACATGGTCCGGGGTTCGATCCCCGGCCGACGCACTCCTTTACCTCGTTGAGCCAGAAATAATAGTGGTGAAGAGGAAAGGTTGGGCATGAGGCTAGCAACCCCATCCTGTAAAATAAACACTGCTAAAGAAACTTCAAGCCATTAGCTTGAAGCCCTATGTTCCACTGGGGAACGTGAAGGAAAAAAAAATAAATTACTTCAAGTGTTTGTTAAGCAGATCAATTTGCAGGATCTACAACATTTTGGTTTACAATGTGACTCCGTCTTGAATTATCGCTTCTATGTGCTTGACTGTTGCTCTGAGGTCTTGAAGTCCGTATCTTTGTCTCGAGGCGTTGACTGAAAGACTAGGTCAACCAACAGGGTGTAGAGGACCAAAGAAGCCATTTCACTTTCAGAGGTCAATTTGTTTTTTCTGTGCTGGTTGAATGACGCTGTGGACAACTGGTTTTCCCGATGAATGTGAGAGAGACTGCTGCGTTGTGGTGTGGTTTTGCATCTCTATATTCTCTTCATACTACCGATAATAGACATATCATCCAGTAGCCGTAACAAGGTGTATTCTCCCTTCTCTAGTTGGGACTTTTTTAAGAGAATCCCGGTCACCAGGTTACGTGAGGCAGGCTGATTATTCAGCGAGTGGTATGGAGAAAGTTCAAGCCTAGCAGGATATATGGCCACACAATAATCCCTAGCTTTATTTCCAGTTGAAGCCAACCTGAAGCGAGCCCAAAACCCTCTAAGCAGAGTTACTGGCAGACCTACTAGAAGAGTACATGTGAGGAAGTCCATCAGACTGGAGAAATGTGGAACAGTAGATGTTACCAATTGCCACTGAGTGCTTCAGGTTAAAGCGGAAAACAGGGTAGTAATAGAAAATAAATCTGAGGTGGGCATGTAAACCTTGTGATGGAAAAATAAAATTCGCGACAGCTGGTTCGTAGCTTAATGGTGAAATTGCAAAACAACTGCATTGGTGGAAACACGACTAACTTCTGCTGTTGTCAGTGAGATCAGCATACGAAATATGTTTCAATTTTAGCTAGAGGGGTCGTAGAAAAGGACGCATTGATATAGTGTGAGTCATCAAAAAACCTTGACCCCTGCAAGACGCTACGGTTATACAGAGGT